ATTCAAGTAGAGCACAAACACCCTTTTTGTGCAGGTTTGGTGAGAGAAAAATATTCCACGAATGTTTCTCATCCACTAATTAAGCTGCCGAGCAGTCTTTGTCTATAAATAAAACAAGCATCCTCCCACGGACTGCAGTACGCCTCGGCGGTGAGAGTTATGTCAAGATAAAGCAAAACAAAACTGTTGAAGAGAGTGCTTTTTTTCTGCTGAGTAAATGAGACTAATTATACAAGCATATGAAATCAATTAGCGATGCCAAATCTTTCTCCTGGTTTGTTCATCAACAATAAAGCTACACTGAAAGCTGACACCAAACTGGGTAAGCGTTATTTGTGTTATTCACTAAGGACTGAGTCTGTAGTCTCTCACATGTAGCAGCTTCACAAAAGAGTCCTTTCACTTTGCACCCCATAAAGGCTTTGTCCTGGTGTCCCGATGTGTGACTACTAAGAATAGGCATGATTAATCGATGATCGATTAATTGATCGTTAAGAATTACGTAAAATTTCGATCGATCTAACGTTATTAAAAAAGGCTGACAGCGTGCGTCCATCCTCAAACTGCTTTCCAGCAACGATCAACCTTTGTGTGTGTGTGTGTGTGTGTGTGTGTGTGTGTGTGTGTGTGTGTGTGTGTGTGTGTGTGTGTGTGTGTGTGTTGAAACAATGCTGTGACTATCAGGGGTGGGGATCACAAGTGGCCCCACGATACGATATTGTCACGATACTTGGGCCACAATACGATATTATCGTGATTTTTAACATTTTCGCAACACAGTGAGTATTGCGATACAATATATTGCGATTTATACAATTTATCTAACTTTTTACCCAATGTAGCATTTGTCTTCCCTTTATGTTTGTCTTATTTACACTGTATTTTATTTTCATGTCACACATTTTCATGTCGCGAACCTCACGATTGATTTTATTTTTCCATATCATAGATTTGACTTCATATTAGCAATTAATTTGAAAAAATCGATACTTGGTAAATGAGACAATACGATATACCACCAGACAAAATATCGCAATACTATGCTGTATCTATTTTTTCTCCCACCCCTAGTGACTATCACTGCGCAGAACTTCCGTAGAAGTCGAAAAAAAACATGAAGAAAGCAAGACGAAGTGTGGAATGGGACTATCTTGAGAGGAAAACTGATGAAGTTTGTGACAAACGCTGCGATGCTGTGTATAAGTACAACACAACAACGAGCTCAATGATGCACCACTTGAACCACCTTTATCCAACCCCGGTTATTGGGGGTTGGGGTATTTTATGCCATTTGCATAAATAAACGATCAAACCAATGATTTATCCATTCATTTATATGATTAATCGATTAAGGGACTTCCTTAATATGCCCATTCCTAGTGACTACAGGTCTCTTTAGCGCTGCTGAAGCACAAGAGGCTCAACTTAACACACAGCAGGAGGGCCACATGCACATTCACATGCATACAGAGTGCTCAACCCTGATTCTACACATTGCCACCTTCTTTCCCCCATTTCCACCTCGGTTACTAACTCGTCCCACCGCTGTGTCTCTGTGTGTTCCACCTTGTAGATGAGGTGTAATGGGGCCTAAATTACCACCTTGACATGACAGTATATAAGAGTCAGCTGCAAAAGTCATTTTAACCTCGAGACTACAACCTCATATAACAAACAAGGTCAGCCCCATATCAAAGTGCTGCTTCTGTGCAACTGTCTCTCAAAATGCTGAACATATCAGCAACTGTACCGTAGCAGGACCGTCTCTATACAACTCTTCTCCAATCGATAACAGAAGCAAACTACTTTAAAAGCTGCAATCGTTTATTTTTTGTAAAAAGCAGGTAAATTGGTTTTGGATCAATACGTGGCATGCTACTTCTTCTTTAGCAAGCATCTGTGGTTTCTCAATCAGATCGATGAGTTTTGTCACTCTCCCTGGGACGCTCAATTGCTCACAAAAGGGAAGGATGTTGAAAAGAGAGAGAAGGCGGTAAAAAATCTTAATGACAAAAGGACAAAGCAGAAATTAAAGAAAGATGAATAGATAAATGCTTAAAAGGGAAAGCAATAGAGGCAAAAGGAATAATGGAGGTGTGTGTGTGTGTGGTAGAAAGGTCTTGTGCGATTGGGTTCTTCAGAATAATTGGTTGCTGGAAGCTCTCATTAAAACAAGTCCACAATCTTCTATCCGCCTATAGACCAGACCAAGTGAAGTGAACATACGGGCGACAGAGTGAGGTTCATATAAAACCCGGTGTCTTTTTTTAGCCCCTCTTTTATGTTTCACATGTTCGGCTTCACAGTCCAAGAAAAGTGGGATGTAAGTGCAGCGATTTTCTACTATATTTAGAACCACACCTTCGAATCTTTACCCCAAACCGAAGAATTAAAGAGACGTATTTTGACATTAAGTCCTGTGAGAAAAACTTAAAGCAGCCTTCAAACTGCCAGGTCCACACGGGTTTAACCGCATTCAGAGTCAAACCTTCAGGTTACATTAGGGTGTAAACTTACGTGTCAGTTGTTTGTTCCTTTGATATCAGCTGCGTTTACATGGGCACAAATAATCAGAATTAAGGCCCGATCAGAATAAAAAAGCGTCATGTAAACATGTCAATCGAAAATTTCTGATCCAAATTGGCTCAATCGGAGAGAAATGGTATTCCGAGGGGTGGTTTATGCCAATCCTTATTCCAAAACGTATAAACGTAAACACTTATTCCGATCGTGATTCTCTAACTTGACTCGGTCTTCACTCTTTGGCCTTTTGCTTATTTATTGAGGTCAGTACAGGAGGTTTCATTATTAACATTCAGGTGCCGTGTCTGCTCCTCCGATAACATAACAAGGCGTATATACAGCGTAATGATGACACATCTGTATGCACAGCGCAACTTTGGCAGAACAGTAAAATAAGTAAGCAAGGGCGCCATCCAATGACGACATTTAACAGAGGGAAAAATCCTGAATTGGAGGAAGTGAGCCACTACAGCGTTTGTTGGTTTATTGACAGCACAGGCGTAAATACAACTCTTCTGCGGTTGTTTTAGCGAAATTAGACAACTCTGCGCATGTCCAGATGCTTCTAATCTGAATGAAGCTTGGTGCATGTATACACACGTCATCATCAGGTTATTTGATTTTGTGCCTATATAAACAATAGACTCAGATTTTCTGATACCTCAAATTTTTAATCAGATCAGGAAATTTTGCAGATGTAAACATGGTTACTGACAGGGCACTGTAGATAAGCCATCTTTTACCAGTTAGAGGACATGCAGCCATATTTCAAACCAGAGGTAGACGACAAAAAGACATCTGATTTACACCCAGCTATGAGTGACAATGATCCAGATGAAAGTGACTGGTAGTTTTCTCAAAAGTGCATGGGAAAGGGTAGAGTGCCTACAGGAAGTTGTGATGTTGTATCGAGCGAAACCACATGAATTTAACCAATCCTGTAATGCGAACAGCGGTGCATTTATAAAGAGGAATTAGAGGGGATTTTTCTCTTTCATGAGAGGACTGGTCCGACCTTAAGCTGCAGTGTCTTTTTTAGTAAATCCATACCAGTAATGAATCTAATACTCACTGTCTTGTTGTGGTAAGTTGTATACGCTGAACACTATGAGCCAACTACTTTGCAAATTTCTGGTGCCATGTCTTTAGCTTATTCACCAGTTAGAGATCGTGTTCCCAACTGTCCACCAATCAAAAGCTGCTTTTAAAATCAGGCATGTTCGAGCCCGATATTTAACAATGACCCAACAGTAAAAAAGTAGGATGACCATCTTCTGAATCCCCAAAAATATGACACGACTACACGGGGCTGAATCATGGAGTCGACCGTAATAAATTTTGAGAGTTTTTCAGGTCAGGTGAAGTGTTTTTTTTAATGCTTCTAACTCAGTAAGTCCACGCGACACAAACTCCAAACTTCCCTACAAAACCCTGGACATTTAAAGGATTTTATAAACTCTCCTGGACAGGCCGGACAGCTCCTAAAAAGAGGACATGTCCGGGTAAACGAGGACGTATGGTCACCCTACATAAAACCCAAAATGTACATTTCAGATCATCATTCTGTGTCGGCAGTTTAGGCAGAAACAATCAAAACAAGAGCTTATTGAACCCTTGAAGGACTGCCCCGCATGTTGATCTCAATATGACTTTTACAACTTTGATGATACGTAGTTTAGTGCAAACCTAATTCGACTTATCATTTTCAGTTGCACTGTTGCTCCACTGTTAATTTATATTGTTTCTTATTTTAAATTCTTCTTTAGTTAAAGTTCATAAAACTCTGCGAGCTTATCCAGCTTTGTCCTCTAACTCTTCCCGCAGAACCTCCCCTGAAATCGACCTCTCCATATTTAAGTGAAGTTGATGAAGAAGTCACTGAGCTCGCAGTGTTTTTTGCCCGTGAGCTTCCTCTCTAGTTACACACCATTGTCTTTTAGCACAGGTAATTACTCCCATTGCTGGCTTTTATTCTGGTCTCAGAGTGATGGATGCCTCTCTCTTTCCACAGATAACAGCTCTGTTTGGCTTCTCTCTCCGAAGCATCTCGGCTATAATTCTTAAATCATGTGAGCGCTGCTCTGAATTAAAGAAGAATGCATCTGTAATGGTGGCATGGGAAATGGCTTTGTGCATGAGAAACAGGGAATACATCAAACCGGAGAGATAAGAGTGTGTGTGTGGAAGCTGCTCTCTGTCTTTCTCTCGAGCTTTTACTGTATAAATAAACATGTTAGATATGTAAATGATCTCCACATGTATGCGACACTCTGTCCAGTCATGTCCCTTTTAATGTTACCGTGATAGCAGCAAAAAGGATGAGGTTTTTTTTTCTCCTTTTTTAACCACCTACATCTGTGCTCAATCATACTGCAGTGTCAGTCTATTTGTGTCCTTGGATTTGTGTGTAAAATGCATGTGTGAGAGGAGTTGTGTGTCGATGTGAGAATAAAGGTGTGTTGAAGGAAAAGTGCCTCATAGTGCTCATGCGTGAATGAGATCGTGGAGGTGTGCGGCGAGTTGTGATGTAATGTGAACATAAATCTCTCAGGTTCTATAATACGCCGTGTTCCCTATCACACATATTTCTCCCATTATACAAAATATTTTGCAGAATCACTGATGCTAACTGACTCAAATCAAATGCCAAAACACTGAACTTAAAGGGATATTCCGGCGTAATATTAAGATGGTCAAACACACCTTAACACTGATTTAGACACCGTCTAGAGAGATGAATGTTGTCGACCAGTTGCTTCTCTGGTTAAACCAACTTAAGCAACGACCGGACGACAGCAATACACAGCGGTCTATGTCTCCATGCGCAAACCTCAACCAAAACGCCACTCTATAGCCACAAATAATGTTCAGAACAGCACCTAACAGTACATATAGGGTCCCAACCATAGTACTAGCCATCAAACATCTTTTTAGCTTTGCCTGGTTTCTTTAGCAAAGAGACCAAACTGAACTAACCCACTCTCCTCCAGCAGCCGCTTGTTTGAGGGGGGAGCCCTGACGAGTCGATCACTGAGTGCAGCAGATCATTTCCATGAAGTAATAATTATCATTATAATCATTTTGCACTGCAGACGCGGTAGTTCTTCTGCCTTAGCGTCTCGGTCTGATTGCATTTCTATGAAGTAATAATCACACATTTTTCAGGAAAATAGTGATTAAGCAAAAAATACGTTTGAGAGAAAAAAAACACGTTCCCACAAGTTAAAATATAAAATATTAAGCTTATAAATGAACACGTTTAATATCATTCTTTTACTGTGCTCTCTTAAACCACAGTTTCAGTTGGTTTCGGGGGATATTTTCTCTTTGCTTTTTTGCTCAAAATTCCAGCTGTGAATGAGTAAAAAAAAAGGGGGAGAAAAAAGAAAGAAAAGAAAAATCTGTTTTAATTCCTAGACATGAATGAGGCAAACAAGATAATCATCCTAATCAATCTGGAAGAAGAGTCTGCCTGTTGATTGGCAGCAAAAACAATTGGTGAAATTGGTGAAGACTCTTTCAGCTGTCATCATTCTCAGACTCTCAAGACCAGCTTCAGACTGGGACTAATGACAGTGCCAAAGTTCAGCAAGATCCTGTCCTGCAATCCATAGGACAGCAGGACTAAAACCATAGCCACAATGCTAATTCCAACCAGATGGAAGCTAATTATTTTTGTAGTCCATATAAATCCTTTTTTAATGAATAAAACTAAATCCCCAGAGCTCCCTCATCTTGCAGGTTTCTCTGGATGTCCCACTTCTGCTTTCCAGCTGCTTCAACAAGTCACGGTTCAAAGCATCAGTCCCCCTCCCCTAGTTTTAACATCGTTATCAAGAAAATATTCATGTATAAGAATCAGTCACTCCATTGTTGTCACAATTTTTTAACTCTGTGCTTGACGTTTCTACCTGCTGTTTTTCCTTGCAATAGTAATTTCCTAAATGCTACAAAGTAGGGCTGGGCGATAAACCGAAAATTTACAGATACTGAAATTTACAACTATAACCAATGTCATTTTGCCCATATCGGTATAGTCAGTGTCAATAAAATAAATAAATACAAGTTGGTTTTGGATGTGTGTAGGTAGGCTATGGTCTCATGTCCCTTTAAGTTGGAGAGTTAGTTGGAGCGGCGGCTGAAGTAGATGAAGCTAATGTGGGAGGGGGTGAGCAGCTTTTGGAGTAGTTATCATCCCTTTATTGTTTTTATAGGTGAACTGCAGAATGTATCATGATATTGAATTGAGGTGATATCATCCAACCCTACTTCAAAGTTTTACACTCATAGAAAACAAATACGGGAACAGAGCAGGTCTGATATCTTAATCCTTTATCTTAAATCCAAGTGTCTCTAAAATATATGACTGAGAATATGGCGGGTGTTTTGCTGCAAAGCTAAAAGCAAGTCAGAGCATCAGCAACAAGTGCACAAATCTTTATATTACATAAACAGTCACACGCTGGCTGTGCTGTAAACTCACAAAACTGCACATTAGCACCTCCTTTTTGTTTATCAGCAGATTTTAATGTGTTTATCATCTGCTGCTTCAGCATGTGTTTGGGCTTTGTCAGATTCATGCCAACTCTGCCTCAGGCTAGACAATGTTTCATCACAGACCGCTCCCCCAGATGTTGTTCAGTATGTGTGAGAGGAGCATCCGAGTTGGAAGAGCGAGCATATCCTCTCTCTCTCTCCACTTTAAAGTTGCACAGTTAATAGGCATCTAATTAAATGTCAGTGGGAGGAACTTTTTAACCAAAAGGAAAAGCTTTCATCCTGTATGATTGAATTTGAAATAAATCATGGCCATGGGCACTCTGCATCACATAATAATTGTTGGAGAAGTTCAAGGTCAAGATTTTCACAAGATTTTCACTCCCATTCCACCTGCTGCTCGTGTGTATCAGCATGCTCGTCCTGTCTGAATCTGTCATGTTCTGCAGCCACCTGACAGCGCTCTCTTGAGTTCCCCCTTTATGTGTATCGATCCACAGTTACGATCTACAGGATTCACAGTACAGGGTCACAAAGCTGGTCTAGAGTCTTTATACTGGTCACATGTCAAATGAAGTCCCTCTTCAGTTTGACATATCCAATGACATCTTGGCCGTTTTAGCAGTTTACATACTGATTTATGAAGTAGAACGAGCCCTGCCTTCTTTGTTAGTTGTTGTGTTATATTATAGGTTTTAATTGACACTGAAATAACCAGTTAAATTATTTACAGCCCTCTGAATTTGTGAATTTCCTCATAACATTCTCCTGCATTTATGTTGATTTTATTTGATGTATCTTAAAGTAAGATCTGGGTTCCAGACCATGAGTTTCAGGGTCTTAGTGAATGACCTGTTAAACCTAAACAGCGTTTTAACCTTATTCCAATTACATCTATCATCTTTTAGCTCTGACATTAAATGATAATCACTTCATTAGAGCCTGAAAAGTGTGCCGTGGTATTTGGCATGAAGTTAATAGCAGCAGACCCTTTAAGTCCAGCATGATACGATACGTCAGGATACCACATGATACGAACTAGTATGATACAATATGATATGAAACAACATGACGCAAAACATGATAGAATACGGCACATTATGATACTATATCATACAATATGATACAATAATATAAGATATATGATACTGTATGATATTATAAGATACTTGATAATACAATATAATATGATATTATTGTCTACAATACAATACAATACAATACGATATGATGTGATATTATACAATACAATTATATGATATGATATGATATGATACTGCACAATACAATACAGTATGATACGATATGATCTGATATGCCACAATACAACGCAATATTATATATGATACTACACAATATCATATGTGATGATATGATATATGTTATGAAATGTTATATGTTACTATATGATATGGTACTACACAATACAATATGATATGATATGATATGAAATGACACTATAAAACACAATACAATATGTGATATGATATAATATGATATGATATCATATGATACTTTACAAAACAATACAATGTGTGATATGATATGATATGATATGATATGATACAAATGAAAATTTGTCATTGACTCAAGTGTATCACATGCTTAACTGCATCCACAATAGTACTAATAAAGAAAACAATGTTAAAATAGCAAAACCCCTTTTACAGAGAACACATACCAAGACCACCACAGCAAACAAGCACATATATCGCACAAAAGGACAGTATTGTAACTGTTAGGATGAGTTTCTTTAGCCAGTCATGTCAGCCTTTAGAGTGGTGGAGCTGTGTCACTCAAATACCCCAGACACTTTGGTGTTAGATTGCTGGAGCCGGGGGCCTCCTACAACCATCCCTGAGCAAGGAACCCTGTACACATTATTTACATCATACAGGTCCCCAAAATACGTTCTGCCTGGATATTTCCTTCTTGGGACCTTCCACATGTTCATCTAAGGCTTTTGAAATATGTTGTCCTTTGTTTTTACCATACATGGATTTCTCTTAGGGTCAACTAAATACCAACAGTATGTTTAGGATTGTGAACCGCTATATATACTTGAATGGTCTTGGACCACTCTTGGCCACACTTGGGGGTGGGCTACTCTTTGCCACACTTGGGTGTGGACCACTCTTTGCTACAATTGTGGTGGCTACACTTGGGGTGGTCACTCTTTGTTACACTTGTAGAGGACCACTGTTGGTCACACTTGTGGCCTGCTGAAGCTGTAACCCAGATATGTAATCAGTAAAGCTTGTCAAAATGATCATTCGTGTGGACCTTCGATTCTTTCTAGTGTGAACCTGGGCTAGGCATCCTTACAGTAACAAGAGAAGATAGAAGCTATAACACCGAGCACATCATGACTTGACCATGACATCAAGCCCCAAAGCTGTCAGAAACATTATTTATCACACAGAGGAGTGTGTGGGTTAAGCCTCCAAAGATTAGACTTGGTCCAGCACATCATACAGATCCAACATACAGATTTGGAGTACGTATGTAATCTTCAAGTCACCTTTGTCAGATTGCTGTTTAATCCAATTCTGATAATCTCATGACCATTGTAGGTGTTTCAGCGATTGGGGTCAGCAGAGGCCCCCCTGATCAGTCTGAGTCTGTGCAGACCCATGAGTTCAGACTCCTTCCTATCGGGACCATCATTATTTGTTCAACTATTTGAACTCCAGGAGCTCTTCTGTTGAATTGGACCTCATGGGCCTGCCCTCGTCTCTCCATGCACATCAATAAGCCTTGGCTGCCAATAACCCTGTCGCCAGTTAATTGTCTTTTTTCCTCCCTTGGAGCACTTTTAGTAGGTATTGATTATCGCAGCCCACGAAACACCCACGAGAGCAGCAGTTTTGAAGATGCCCTGACTCGGTTATTTTGCCACAACTGTTTGACCCTAGTTAAAGTCCCTCTTATCCTTATCCCTTTGCATTTTGCCTGCTTGCAACACATCAACTTCAAAGACAAAAAATTCACTTGCTAGCAAACCAACAGTAAGGTACTGCTGTGAAGAGCTAATCAATGATATGTTTACACCTATCGGTGCTCATACTGCCACCACTGATCAGAGTAAACAATCTCTTGATGGACTAAATCAAGCATCCTACAGGACTAAATCACTACTAACCTCTAACTAACTAACCAATCTCTATCTGACTTAGTGTCGTTGCAAATATTGCTAGCACAGGGATAAGTGCATCAAGGATAATGCATCACAGGCCTTTAGTTAAGAGACCAGCTATGACTGATTTAGACCTCTAATTTGCATCAAAGGGGGATCAAACTAGACCAGTGTGCAGAAACACTCTAAGGGCCTGATTTACTAAAGGTTTGCATGTGCAAAAACACGTGCAAACTTAATAGCGCACGCAAACCTGATGCACTAACTGGGTGCACCAAGATTGCGTCCGTCAAATAAGCGAAACAGCGTGCGATCAGTTTTTCTTTGCCTTCATGAATATGCAGAATGTATGTAGATCATCAGAATGCACAAAATACTGGGAGAAGCAGATGCAAATCATTTAGCACCTGAAATGTGATTTATCAAATCCAGAAACAGATTGCGGTTGCTGTTTTGCGTCTATATTTAGCACGTGCAAACTGGCAGAGCATTATGCACGGTCATTGTGGGGAGAAGGAGGCAGAAGTGCAATGATAGACGATGGAGAGAGAAAGAGTCTTCCATGAGTGTGTCAACATATTTGGACTGTCAGTAATAGAAAATAGTAGAGTAATAGCAATAGTAATGCTGGGTGACCTCAGGGCTGATTCGGTGCCAGTCACAAAAGTGATCCATGCCATATCCTACTGAAAAACTCTTTGTAACACTGCATTTTCCTGCATCTGATGGTTTTTATGAATAATTATGTCAAACACGGAACCCACAAAAAAAGTTCTCTGTTTGTCTTATTGATTTTAAATAGTTTTAATCACTTTTTTGATTTGAAAAGTATTTTTTTGCATCAGTAAAGCACTTTGAATTGCCTTGTGTATGAATTGTGTTATACAAAAAAACTTAAGCCTTGCTTGCCTTTTATGCAGTTCCCCCAAAATGATATGTGCAACTCCATGGTTTCAAACTTCATTTTTCATCTACGATCACTCTGCTTTCATAAACTCTCCATGGTGACAGCCAATAGCGCACAAAAATCCTCATTTAGAGAGAGCGGTCCGCACCACTTTTGCACCCGTTATCAATTGCACAAACAATGACAGTAGATCACCGTTTGCTATTTGGTATCTCAGTAGATCAGGCCCTAAATTTGCAATGTGGAACTTTTTGGTTGAGACTCACTTTACATAAAACTTAAAGCAGTTTTAAGAGAATGAATCCTTTTTTTCTTTTCTTTTACTGGAAAATAAAAGGTGCAATGGCACATGAAAGTCGTCTGGCTTTATCATACCTGTTCTGTTATCTGCTCTGTGTCCAATCTATAACCTGCTTTCAGCCCCGAAAGAAATAACTAGTTAATTTTCTCTTAATGCAGCAGCCAGTGACAGACAGAACCAATTCTCTCCCTCTGCTTCACCTCGCATTTTCATATGCTCAATATTCTTAAATGAATCGTCCGCCTTGGTTGTTATGAAGCAGGAAATATGCATGAGTTTGACTTGATAGCTAATAAACATCCTCAAAACAGTATGCACCCAAATGCAGATAAAGGAGAAAGAGAGGTAGAGGTAAAGAGGGGAGAGAGGAAGAGGAGGGAACAAGCGAGGAAACAGAAAGACATCAGCGAGGAAGAGAAATTCCATTATCTTCTCTTCTGGCAGAAAACAACATCACATCATTTTTGCAGAGAGAGAGAGAGGAGGAGCACTCGCGAGCACTGTGCTGTTCATTAGCATTTTTCTCCCCACAGTCATAGAGCACTGGAATGGACCAGTAAGTTACAGAGTCCCTCATGCACTGAGACACATTGTGCATCACTGCAGCACACCTACAGAGAGAGGCTGAACTGGATCCATTACTTTCCTGAGATGAAGCGCAATGACAGAGCAGACAGAAATAAATATTATGTGGACTAGAAAGGGGCTAATATTGCTCATAGATATCTGTACCACAACATTCATACGTGTCATGACTGGTTAGTGCGGTTATACTTCACTGAACCAGGACCATTGATTATTTTTGTGTGTGTGCTGGACCCTCTTTTACCTCATTTTAAACCCACAGTTTTAAATCTGGGTGTAAAAGTTGACAATGATTTCAAATCGACTCTGTTGTTAAATCCAGTTTTTATTATCTGAGGCTTTTAACCAAGATTAAATCGGTTTTATCTTTTAATGATTTTCAGTTTTTTTTGCTTTTATTTCTACACGGTTGGACTACTGTAATGCTCTTTACATTGGTGTTGTATCAAGCTTCACTCACGCAGATACAGTTAGTCCAAAATGCTGCTGCTCGTCTTTTGACACGTCTTGTTAAAATGTCTTTTACGGTCCTTTTATCACTTTTATATATTTTAGGCTTTTGTGTTTCTATTTCATTTATTTCAATTCATTTGAAATGTTTTTTAACTGCTTTTATTTGTTTCCTCTTGATGTTTTTTTTAAACTCATGAAACACAAACTTGAAAAGCTTCAAAATTGATTCTTTCTCACATTCTCAAAGGTTTCTTTCTATTTCCTGAGCTTTCCAAACTGCTGCACAGTCTCTGCAAGCTCCTCTCCTTCCTCCCAGAGCAGCAGGCGACTCCAGCTTTGCTGCAAATACATGCTGGTTCGCTTGGACCCCTCATGCCGCCTCTCCTGTAAAAATCTTGTGCTCAACATTGGTCTATTGGAAAGGACGGGGTTACGCAAGTAAGGGCTGTAACAAAATGACACTTTGTTTTTGTCTTACTACCCCATAGAGAGGGCTCCCCTCATGTGTAGCAGCAGCATAGAACTGGGAAACAAGCCTAAAGCTTCCTCTGTTGTCTCCACATCTTTTCTATCTGAGATAGCTGCTTAAAGAGGCTGGCACTGCTCTTCTTTCTTAAAAAAGACATTTTAAAGATCCACTTTGATAAAAATCGTGTTTTTTCTTGTTGTCTACATGTTCATATCACATTTTTTTATGCTAGAGGACAAATCATGAGAAAACTAAGTGCAACATTGAATTTCTGAGTCTTTCTTAATTCTAATCGCTGTGAGCCTCTCACAGACCCAAACAGCAGGTTCAGACACAGTGAGATTTCTTACATCACAAATCCAAGCTCCACCCCCTGGAGTTCCGCTATGCAGGCCAGACTCAGAGAAGTAGAGAGGATGATCGCGGAACAAGTGTGTGCGTTAGTGGATTGCAATGCTTGTAAGAAAGCTAATTATGATATTAACTTTCATCATGTCCCCAAAGACATTAGTGTCCGAGAACTGAATAGCTCCTATTTTGCACCTAATATGTTAGGCTACAAGCTAGAGCAGCGCTGTCTCCGCCCACGACTCAGAGGCAAAAAGCTTATGAGCTCCTGGAGCTCTGCAGAAGAAAAGTCCTTAAAAAATGACACAGGTAATGTGACACAACCAGACCTCTTCGAGATTTTGGTTGTGGCTGGGTTGCGAGTCACTTTTTATGTTGCATAGATTTTCAGATGCAGGTTTATCAAAACTCTGGCACAATAAAGCTAAAAACACCAGCTGAAGGTGTTGAATTGTTTCTTTAGGATTTTCGATCAAGACCGGACAACTGAAGTGCAAATAAGCACCTTAGTCCGACTATAATCAGAGTTTGAGAACTCCCATTGGAGTCGGAGAACTCCGATTAAGACACCCAGATAATGTGATTGGAATTCAATTTTCTCTACCATGTAACCAGCGTAGTCAGAGTATGAGTGGACAATGCATATGCAAGTGCGCCACGCCCCCATAACCCCAGAACAAAAACACCAGAGAAGAGGAGTAGCGTGCACCTCATCTGCAGAAAAAGTAGCGCGTACATAATGTACGACAAAAACAACGCTGTACGATGCTCCATCTTCTTGTTCCAAAATGCCCAGCAGCAGTTGTAGACACTTCTGAAATCTGGCACAGACCTGCTGTTGTTGTTGACAGTTGTAACTCATAACGTCATGTCAATAATTCAATTTATCAGCTGTATGTACACGTGGACAAGGAGAGAAGTCCGAAAACCGAATTATGAGCTTTCGATTAAGTTGTGCATGTAAACGCACCGACTCTCTGTCACTGCACGTCTATCACTTTCTTTAACCTGAAGTGAAATTTAGAATCCTTTGGCTGAAGTTGCGATGTAAATGAATCTAGGTGCTACTTTCTGTACTTTGAGTTTGACAGAAATTCATGGCAATTATCCTAAAAGTGAAGCTCCTAAATGTGCTTCATCAGTTTTAATTAGACACACAGACAGACACTCTGCTGGAGTCTCAATGTATTCCAGCAGATCTGCCTCCCTCCTCTTTGACCAATCTTACTGCCATTAATGCTAATTATGCGAGTCTTCAATTACTTCCATAGTCTTCCTGTTTGCTCAGCTGCAAACATAGAGTTCAACTTCGAATGCCCCCTCAGTCCTTCTCTATCAAATTAAATATGCGTCAATGCCGTGAACAGGAACAGATTCTACACTGGGACTTTTTGTGGTGGCCTCAGGGTCCATTTGGCCTGCAACAGACAGTTAGTGTGAACAACAAGCATGAGTGAATAAACTTCTTGGAGTGCTAACAACATCATAGAGAGCAAAATGTGATGTATCAGTTGCTGCTTCTGAATTGATGTGAGGCAGCGTTAACCTCTGGTGTGATCAAAGGAAGTAGAAGAAGGTGGAACAGAGAGGGAGAGGAAGACCCTTGCCAAAATAAGAGATATATGAACCATTAAGGAACCAGGTTAGTCTATGCATACCCAGCATGGCTAGTTTAGTAGACGTGCTAATTGCAGTGTGACAAAATGGCCTGTAGGCTACAGGGTGAGTGTGTCTCTGTGGAGGAATCAAAGCGTAGTAATCATGAGTGCAACAGAGCGATCAAATAACACCGCAGACAGTGTGCTTTACTCATTAAAAGTCACAAGAGCTTTAAATGCACATACTTCAGCTCATTAATGGATCACTGTAGATTAATGTAATGTTACTGGCTTTAATGGCTACGTAACGGTCCAATATAGGCTCGTAGGGTGGCCTGGGATGGAGTCTAAACCCAGAGAGATTTATTTCTCCACTCCACCCTTGGCCATGAGAGGAGAAATGGTTTTACTGTTTCACAAGCCAAATTGCATATCATTAAAATCCATGAAGAATAAATGAAAGTGAAGTAGATGAAATTAAAAACAGATGTAATCAGATGGAATAAAACTGCTGTGTTCTGTGGCAGGGTGATTTCAGAGTCATACTGGTTTGTTTCACAGGATTGTCAGCTATTGTCAGTTGCACGGATACACGACAGCCACTTTTTTTCAGAAATACACCTTCAACTTTACCAGTAGGGACAAAATACTATATAAAAACATGGATGTCGTCTTTGAGAAATCCCTCATTGGTTTCTAAAAAGTTGACCCAACCTGAATTTTAAAAGTGATTGTTGTATAAACACTTATCTGCATGTCCATTTTGGGGACAAAAAAGGCTGGATGAAGCTAAAATACAGAAATTGGCAACACAAAAAAATGTTAATGCACCAAAACTGATTTTACTACTCATCATTGACATGGGCCAGACTCTATTGATTGAAAAAACAATCATCTAGGTCATTTTGTATGGGAAATATGGCAATTTTGTGTTTCTTTACCATTCAAAATAACAGTGCCATGGTGCACAATAAATTGTATGAAAAGGGTGTAACATCAAATTTTTTATTTATTATTTTTCTTAATGATCTGGGCTGAAGTTGTTTAAGAGATATGAGTCGAAAAAAGTGATTATTTAATGAACACTTCTCTGCATGTCCGTTTTGGAGACAAAGCAGGCTGGATGGAGCGTAAAATTAACAGCAACCAAGGGTTAATCAACGTAGAACAGGAAAAATGGGGCTGAGGTGGGCTGTTAGACGCCTGATGAACAACTACAACACACCAAATGTTGAAAATGTTTCACATTTGAGATTTGATTGATGTCATTAGTTTTCTTCATAATCCACCACTTAAACTTGTGGTGGAGTATCTTAGTTGACTCCTCCAACTGGTGTTTTCAAGACAAAATAAGTCAAAAATACAGATTTGAATTATAATATTTTTTATCGAGACTTTTATCGTTATCGCCAAAATGGCAAATCTTATCCTGATAAATTTTTTTTAGCCCATATCGCACATCCCTATTTTGCACAGGTATTGAACAATGCAAATTATTAAACGAGTCCTTGCTTTTACATCCTCATAATGAAGTAATTAAAAAATAATCATCTCCTTTACAGGGCGAACAAATAAAGAAATGAGCCAGACCAAAGCTGTTTTCTTAACCCTGCTGTAAATTGGGTAATTTGTAGATTCAATAACCTTTTTAGCCAGCCTCTTACCAGGTGCCCCCAGACCCCAGACCTCTTTAGCGAGGTCAGTTCAATTTATTTGCTTTTTTTTCCAGGAGACATTAAGCATCTTATAAAACCAGCTCTTTTCTAATTAAAGGACTAAATTGGTTTATAAAGTCAGTGACCCACTGCCAGTGAATGTTAATATAAGGTTCGTGTTAATACGAGTCTAGATTCAATGTTTTTGTTGGGACTGTTTCTGAATCTAGTTACAGTTCTGTTTTACCGAGACAGAAAGCTTAAAGTGGATTCAATCGAAGCGAAAAGGGCGAGAGGACAGAAGAGTGGGGCGAGTTTAAACTTTGCTTATAAAGAAGACAAAAATGATGACATGAAAAGAGAGAGAGCTATGCAGAGAGATGCAGGCACAAGATAGATGAAGGAGGTTAGGCAGAGTGAGCAATAAGTGCGAAATGAAAAGAAGAGAAAGGAAAAATCAAAGGCCAGAGTCTTCAGAGTACTTGGGCGGCAGGTTCAGACAGAGGCAGCCTTCTGAGACTAAATGTGTTCTCCAGCCTCGGCGCCCTCACTGCCCGCTGTGTCAGCCCACACAATGTCTGCCTGGTCAACCATGGCGCTCATCTCTTCACACACACACACACACAGACTGACATACATGGTGCACACACTTGCACAAAAAGACATCCCTACTCCTCTAACTTGCTTCATGTTACCTCTGCTTTCACCATGATGAAAACCAACGTGAGATGTTGTTCAGACCCAGAGGGATTCATGCTCCTTTCCTGCACCCTCCTTCCTTCGCTTTTATCATTTCCTCGCTTCTTCTTGTTCAGTAAAACCACAGTAAATGGTTGCAGAAAGGGTCTATACTGATTTGTCTCATTGATTTCCTCCCCCCTGATGCAGTCTCTTGTTATTACCCGTTTCCACTTCATCACTGCCAATCACTGCTTCCTAAATTAAACCTTTTGACAAACAAAAAGAAATTAGTTTCGATACAGAGTGCCCTAGAATTAACGCGCAATTACTGTTGGCTCAAGTGGAACCCCAAAGTGGGATTTCAGAGGCAAACAATGCTTGGATAAACTTTAGCTAACCCACATGAACTGCAGGGAGCTGAATTGTGGTTGGACCCTGAACTTTATTGCTTGGAGTTGGCGTTTGTGGTCATTGGAAGAGGCCATTGCAACTTTTTCCTGTTTAGATCTGCGGTTCCTAACCTTTTTCTTTGAGTGCCCTCAGCTTTAGGAGAGTGGGTGAGTTGTGTTTAGTCTCTTTGCTAAAGTAATCAGGCAAAGCTAAAAAGAGTTTGGTGGCTAGTACTATGTCTGGGACCCTATATGTACTGTTGATGAAGTTAGGTGCTGTTCTGAGCATTATTTGTGGATATAGAGTGGCGTTTTGGTTGAGGTTTGCACATGGAGACGTAGACCGCTGTGTATTGCTATCATGCGGTCATTACTAAAGTTGGTATAACTAGAGAAGCAAGTGGTCGGCAAAATTCATCTCTAGAGGGGGTCTAACTCGGTGTTACAGTGTGTTTGACACTAATTTAAATTTGTGCCGGAATATCCCTTTAAGCAGCAATCCCTAAAAAGTCCCACTGAGCTGCTGGGTGCAGCTTCTAGACCCCAGTAAGCCACGCTGCTAGTGATAAAGCCAGATGACTCTGCCCAGAGAGAGAAAGAGAGGAGGGGGAATAACTTTGAGTAAAACTGTATCTGTGTTGTTTTGTTTCAGGAGATAAATACGTGTTGCCTAAATCTCTCTTTGATCACAGAAAACATTTATTCTCCAAAGGAAACCAAAAGGGAATAGCAGCAGCACAACCTCCACTTCAATTTCCCACTGGAGATGCTTAAAGTGAAACACAGCAATGTTAAACAAAAATATTCACAATGCGCCGGCACTTTGGTGCTTAAACTAGGAAAATGGTAAAAGCTTTGCACCAAACACACACCCTTTTTTGACTCGCTGATTCAGACTGTTTGAAGACGACACAAGTAACAAACTGTAAGAAGTTCAATAGGCTTATATCAGATGACATGCTGATGCATTACACACTCTTAGCCCTGTGCACTCCAAACTCATTAGTAAACATGCCCTTATATCATCTTGACTCCATTATTGCAACAACCTTTCGTTTGCGGGTCTCTGGGCACCATCTTCAGCTTACACAGTGCTGCTGCTGCTGCTGCTGGATGCAAAGGCCTGCAAATGTATCCGGAGCTTCCTTCCAAGATTCTCCTTTTTTATGTTCAAAGCCCTGCAGTAACTCTTCCTGACTCACATTACTAAACCTCTCTCCTCGTACAGTACAGCAAGGCCTCTTGGATCCTCAGATTAAGGCTGGTTAACTGTCCCACATCTCACAGGAGAACTTGTAGGAGACAGGGTCCTAATTCTTTGTATCTGCAGCCAGACTCTGAGGTAGTTTCCCTGACAGTAGACTCGCTAAAAAGTTTTTGGACCAAGTTGAATGCCCTTGGCTACCTGTGATGATTGTTTCCATGATTATATCCTGATTCATGAGTGTGTGTATGGAAAGCTGCATTTGCCAGGACTTTCCAGCACTATCAAGTTACAGAGTCAATTACCAATTAAAGGGATATTCCAGCGTAAATTTAAGTTAGGGTCAAACACACCGTAACACCGAGTTAGACCCCCGCTAGAGATAAATGTTGCCGACCACTTGCTTCTCTAGTTATACCAACTTTAGTAACGACCGCATGATAGCAATACACAGCGGTCTACATCTCCACGTGCAAACCTCAACCAAAACGCCACTCTATATCCACAAATAATGCTCAGAACAGCACCTAACTTCATCAACAGTACATATAGGGTCCCAGACATAGTACTAGCCACCAAACTCTTTTTAGCTTTGCCTAATTTCTTTAGCAAAGAGACTAAACACAACTCACCCACTCTCCTCCAGCAGCCGCTTGTTTGTGGGGGAGTCCTGACAAGTTGATCACAGAGTGCAGCGGAAAAGTTATCATTATTACTTCCTGGAAATGGGACAATCACGTCTGCAGTGCAAAATGATTATTACAATGATTATTACTTCAAGGAAACGATCCACTGCACTCAATGATCGACTCGTCAGAAACAACAGGAATCTAGGGAATTTCCCCTGCACTGTATCCAGGTATTTATGTCAAAGTCACACTGGTTAAATTTTTGGCTTAAAAGTTACTGAATCAATTTCAAGTTACCCAATCGTTTTAGATCGTATTGTTCTAAATGAGCCAATATCGTCCTTGAATCAAATCGGCAACCACGAATCATGATACGAATCAAATCGATGTTGAAATGAATCGTAAACAACCCTAGAATAAAGCCACCAAAAAAAGTCCTGCACTTGCACATACTGTGTGCATCATGTCACCAAGCCTCTAAATTCACTTGTTGATGTACGTAATCTAACCCCAACTCCTAACTTCCTCCTCTTGTTTTACCTGTTTGCTTCTGGTGAAATAAACACATGAAATTTCAGCACATCATCCGAGAACACTGGATCATGGTTTCAAACTTGGTCCTGATATCCATGGGCGGTTTGAGGCAAGATAAATTGTCAGATAACTGGTATTTATCGCAGATTAAATCAAACCACTCGTTCGCTGTTACTTCATTTTTTCCCAGATGTGAAGGTTATGTGTGTTTTTCAGAAGGCTTTAATATCAGGACTAATTGAGTTGACATCCAGCATAATTGAAGTGTGAGAGTTGTATTGTGTGTTTTTGTCACATTAGAAGTAAAAAAGAAGCTAAATAAATAATAAATCAATAAATTGATGAAGAAAAGGACAATTATATCCTGCTTTGCTCTTAATTAACAACATATAAATGTCAAAAAACAGATTTCTGCAGATCATTGTGATTATATTTGTATTAGACCTATTGGATATAGTATTGAAAAGATCCTAAAGAAAATGGGTTCATCAAAATTGGGGGCATATACATTTATCAAAGTTACTTGTACTGAATTTAGTTCCCCTTTAAAAAATAAATATCTACATCTGTCATCAGTAAGTGTTTGTTTATGTACAAAAGGACTGTTTTTCTTCATAATGATTGCATCTCCTCTTGCTTCTGTGCTAAAATTTGACTGGGAAACATGAGATGCCCATGAAGGACATAATATCTCAGTGGTAGTTTTTTCAACATGATACATGATTTCTGGAGGAAACGTATATCAGCTTTGAGTGTACGTAAATGAGCGTACATTTTTCCTCTTTTTAATGACCTGCCAGAAAAGTGACGTCAGTACGTATAAATAGAAATTATATATCAATAAAGTTCTTCTTATCTTATATAGGAAGACTTTTTGAATTCCTGTTACAGCGATCAGGTTTGCTCAGGTATCTCTGGGTCAGGCTGCAGTTTTTGCTGCTGTTGTTCTTCACTGATGGATTAAGTTGGATTGCGAAGTCTTCATTGTCCCTGAGAGGCAATTTGGTTTGCAACAGAAGTCCACACAAAGCATCCTGTTGTAGGTCTTCCTCCCGCTTGTGAGTGTATCGATCTTTTAACAGGATGAATAAACTTTGGTTTTACTCTGGGCACATTATCAATTTGGCGAGAATGTATTCTGGGTTCAACCGAACCTACGAGGAAAAGACTGCAGCGCCGACTAATAATGAATCACCTGGAGGAGGGAGGGAATAATGGTGCTAAAGGAACCAGGATTGTCAAACAGTGGTCTCCTGTGTCCACGTACTCACCGCCAGGCTTAAAGCGTTAATGAAGCAGCATCATGATTCCTGTGCTTTTGTTCCTTCAAGACATGAGTCATAATTCACACAGCCCACAGAAGTAAACATTTCCTCAATTACATCTTCATGCATTATAAAACAGCTTTAGCATGTGGCTTTTCCATAGAAGAGAGTAAGAGAAACCAAAAAGTCCTGCAGGGAGGGGAAGAGTTCAGAGAGGATGAGAGGCCTTCATATTGATTTTCGAGCTAAGTAAGGAAAGGTTGTAAGTTCGGATAGTCTTGGAGATTAAAGTTGCGTTCACACCAAAAAGTCGGTTTTGTAATACGAAACAAAGCGAAGATGAAACCTTGATCCGCGTTTAAAAATTGTCACGTGGCTGCAAAAACCATTGGCATAACAAGCCTTATGTCCCTTATCACTTACCATAGCATGTGTACTGTTGCATTATGGGTATCGTAGGCAGATACAGTATGATACAAAAGTGATGGCTCCACATGGGAGCTGCAATAAAAGATGATATTAAATCTCCAACACGGACTTCTTTATTAAGAGTACCGAACATTACATACATCATGGAGCATCGTCTACTCATCTTTATGTCGGTGCTGATCTAGACTGCATATCAGCAGACTTAAATGGACTGCGCGTATGAACGGCTGGGAAAACTGTGGCAATTAAATAATGTATTGATACACGCACGTCGCAGAAGACGCTCTGCAATCAGACGGTCATATCACAGAAGACTACAGGCAATTATGAGAGCCTACCTCCATGTTTTTTCAAGGCGCGCTTCCTGTGATCAGTGCAGATGGGGTTCACACTAGAAGTAAACCACTCTAGAGTTCACTTTAGAGTGGTAGTGGTCTGAGACCGCCCCTACCAGGCGAACGCGAGAGCGGTTGACTGGTCCACACCAATGTTTAAGGACAGCGTTCACAACAACCAAAAAGAACCGCACCAAAGAGGTAAACGCTCCAGGGTTCAGTTCAACTGGACCAAACAAGGCTGGTGTGAACATGACCTAAGGGCCCTTTCTCACCCAGAGTTCGCTTAGACGGTCCGGTTTAGGGACCAGATGTTTACATTGTTGCATTTGGTCTGGTTAGCGTTCACATGGGACTTTTGCTAAGCAAAGCAAATGGTTTAAAAAAGAAGCAAAATTACGAGGGAAAATCACTGTCTGTCACCTGTTCATTTGGGGCACAACCTTCATTGTCCCACAGTGCAGAGAGAACAATGGGTGTCTTGCTTCACGCAATTCACCAGAGGTAGCGGAGACATTGTGCATTAATGCAAAGAAATTCCTATAACACATTGTCAGCGTGTTTGTTGAACAGAAGAACACCCAGGTATTTAATATCACCCGACTACTGTATTGGAACACAAACCCTCTACCATTCGTCCAGTTCTACGGACAGTCCGGTGTTTTTACCAGCTGTTCTCCATCTGCTGCAACTCCTAACCAGGCATAATTTCCTGGCTTTATTACAGTGTAAATGTGTTATTGGTTTATATTGATATAGAAAAAGTCCGGCTGCATCAGGGCTGCGTTCACAGTTGTGTTCATGGACCAGACCATGGTTCGTTTGGAGGGGGACTGAGTCCTGCATTTTCAAGAGGACCATGGTTGTAAGGATGCCTAGCCCATGTTCACACTTAAAAGAATGGAAGGTCCAAACGAATGATCATTTTGACAAGCTTTACTGGTTGCAGATCTGGGTTACAGCTTCATCAGGCCACAAGTGTAACAAAGACTGGTCTGAGACTGGTCAAGTATAGATAGCCGTCCATGTTTCCAAACATTCTTCTGGCATCTTGTTGACCTGGAGGAGGATCCATGTAGGGTAATAAAAAAAAAGCACAACATATTTTGGGAGCCTGAGTGATGTTAAACATGGGAACAAGGTCCTTGTTGAGGATGGTTGTCAGAGGCCCATGGCTCCAGAGATCTAGCACCAAAGTATCTAAGGTTTTTGAGTGACACAGCTCCACCACCCTAAAGGATGACCTGACTGACTCAAGAGAATCACCCTAACAATGGTCCATTTGTTCAATCTGGACCACTGTTTGCTTGCACGTTCATACCACCTGGACCAACCATGGTCCTATTCGAACGAACCGAACCATCCTGGTGTGAATGCGCCCTTAAGTTCATTTGCTTTTGCAACAAGACCGTCTCAAAACGTCCCCTGAAAATCAGCTCTGAATAAAGTAGAGTGATCTAGAAATGTATGCATCTATGTGTAGGTGATTTTTTTAGCATTTATGCATGAGTTTATTCTACTAATGTTTATACAGAAGCTATAATTACTTATGTGAGAGTGACAGACAAAAACAGAAATAGAAATAGAGTTTGTCTCTCTGTGTGTATGTGTGTGTGCGTGTGTGACACTCAGGTAATTGGGACATTGTTGTTATGCAGATAGGTAGCGAGACTCCTGCCCCGAGGCCAGCCGCAGCATAGAGAGTGTCACAGCAGGGAAGAATTACCCACATGAAACGAGGCAGCGTTGTATTCAGACTGATGAATGCCAACGGGAACAACGAGACTTTGTTTCTCTGTCTCTCAGAGAGACAACAGTCCTCATTTTGGCAGAGAGAATATGGCTGCTCTCCAAATCTTCCCTGACATTCAGCGGAGGTTTGCAGCGCCCGAAGAAAGACTGCTGGACTACCCTCCCTGTTTACACACAACCGTGGCATTATGGGTATTTAGTCCAGCTGTGGCTGCGAGGTAAAGCACTGACCTGTAGTGATAAATGGTAATTTAACAAAGATTTTCACATTTGCCTCAAGTTTCTAAAATGTCCTTTTGTACTTCCCCACAAAAAAAGCTCCAACTTTAATTAAAATAGTTTTGTTTTATATGAAACACACAATACCTTGAGCGTTTTCATTAGGACGTGAACATATGACACCTTTAGAAACCAACAGCATCCAACAACCATCGTCTCATTCGTGCATTAAGTCAGAATAGCTGATTGGGATCAATAAAGCCACTCTCGGTGTTTTATGTGTATATTTCAGAGATAACCAAACTCCATAGGGACTTATTAGTTCCTCCCCCCTCTGACAGAAAGGACAGAAGAGCTCAGATGGAAGCACTCGCAGCCTGAGACATGATTTTTATTTCCTTCAACAAGCACACTAAAGGTATTTAGTATGCAGTTTGCATTGCACCTCCGTCGAGCTGCATTTTCCTTCTGTTAAAGTCACATCTGCAACTGCCTCACCGCTCTCTGCCACCCTGCCCCTCAGCCTCCGCCTCCTCCGCCTCCTCATGGCCATCTCATTATGGAAGCTAAATTAACCATGGCGCATACCTTCAGAGCGTGCAGCAGTTTTACAGCGCCATCGGTCTCGCCTCACAAATACTCCATCATGTAATTGAATATCAAGTCTACCGGGGGCTTTCATAAGTGACTGACCCACTGCAGGAGCGTAATTGCACACGAGGATGCAGTTTTTCTTTTTTTGTTTTTGAAAACAGACACATGCAGACTCACATGTGTGATGCTCTTACAGTCAAGTACAGTGCAGAAGAGAGAGAAAGAGTGTTTCAACTGAGCGGAGTAAAGTTTCTTTAAATTCACAAGGCACAGCATTATAAAACTAATAAATAAAGTTTACGACATAATCTCAGAGACCTGGAACAAGCACACTTGTGAGCCAGAAATCGTCCATGACCTTAAATAACTCCTCGACGTTACTTATAGACTTGGGTTTGTATCATCTGACCAGTCCAAAAAGAAGACACCCATCGGATGTACAAGTTACTTTAATTTACTGTTCGGTTAATTTACTGGCTTGTAACATTGGAACAATTTTAAGTTTAAATTGTAGTTTCTGTTGCACACCTGTTATTATGCATGTCTGGTTTTGCTGGTATTTGTTGTTGCTAAGAGAACAATCTGTGTGGAGAGATAAACAATAACACTATCCTAGCTGACATCCCTGTTATCATGATGATGATTTTGTTCCATTTATCATAAAAAATGCATATATTTGCGTGCAACTGCAGGTAGCAATCTTCTTTTTAGACATTGCTCCCTAAATTCCACTTCATTCTTTGCCTTCAAATGTGCTGGCTGTTCCTAAATAAGAGCAAAGAACTGAAAAAGACTAAACTCTGTCTGAAAGTCCTGTAATGCAAATCCAGAAGCCTTGAAAAACCGTATTACTGTCAGATGATAGCTTGTATGTTGTTCCTAAAGTTTACCTAAAGTCAACTAGTTGTGTCTTATCTCCATGTATCACAGCAAAGTGCTCAATTTTATAGATAACCTTCCAATGTGCATCATTTATGAAATCCAAACACTACCTCTATCAATCGTACTTATCCCAAGCCCAATGAAAAAAGTTAAAAAATAAAAAGTAAAATAAAACACATACTTCGGGTGGTGAACCTCATCTCACAGAGACAACTCCAGGGCAAGAATTCAATCTGTCCATTTTATCCATTTTATATCACGACATATAAGCGATAGAGAACCAGAAATGTCAATCTCTCATCTGAATGCAACTTTGAAATCATACCTCAGAGTAGGGCTGGGCAATACACCAAAAATGTACCAATACCAAGATTTATGACAATAACTGACACCATTTTTGCCCATATCGGTATATGAAAATAAATAAATCAAAGTTTGTTTTGGATGTGTGTAGGTAGGCTAAGGTCTCATGTCCCTTTAAGACGCTGTCCTACGTCTGAGACGTGACTCCACCCCATCCAGTCCGTAACGAAGAGGGAAAGACAGGTGAGGAAATGGAGGACGGTTCAAAAGTTGTAGTGGCTGAAGTAGACGAAGTTAATGTGGGAGGAGGTGAGCTGCTTGTGGAGTAGTTATCGTCCATTTATTGTTATCAGGGTGAACTGATCAGTATATTGATTTGAGGCCATATCGCTCAGCCCTACTGCATTGTGCATACTTATTAAAGTGTAGAAAAGCACATTTAGGTGAATTACTGCTCTTTTTCTGAGGAATAACAATGAAGATAATAATAATAATGATAAATAGCTGCTGCAGTCTGTCTGTTAGTGCTTGTAAACATGACAGAGACCTGTGTATTTTGCATATTCCTGTTTCCTGTCTTCATTTCACACTGTCCACTAAAAGGATTTCTATCTCTGCTAATTTATTCTCCCATATTTTTGCCATTAGCTGTTCACCCTTTTTTTTTTTCTCGGTCCATCTCATCTTCCCTAACCGCCCCAAAGCCTGACTAATGCCGCATGCTGCCCCCTACGTTCGGCCTCCAGTAATACAGTCTGCAGAGCCAGCTGTAGTGTAATTAATTTCTCATTAGTGTAAGCAATAATGACTATCTCACAATCTTGCTTGGCCTTTTTTTTTCCCTCACTCTCACTTCTTCTATCTTGCTGCTTGTGTATCTCTATTGGCCTCATCCTCCTCGCCATCCTGGGAAGTGTTCAAGTCGTTAAAAAAAAGAGAGAGAGAGCAACAACAAACAACAATTAGCTTCCTGTTGACAGGGAGAATAGTAGACTCACCTCCTGCAAATTACCCCTCGCTGAGGAATGGGCGACTGAGACCGTCACTTTTAGGTGTTCTTTAATGAGCCGTCTTCATTGGAGCTAATCACTTAGTGGCAAAACACCCACAAACACAGCAACACCCCGAAACACTCAGGACAAAATGTCATCATCTGCAATTCCTCCAGGTAATGAAATGAAAACTGCATGTTTTTAATACGAAGAGCTGACTCTATGAAAATGTGGTTTACATTAAGTCTGATTGTTGTTCCTGCTGATGTTATGAGGTTGGAATAAGTGTTGCTGAAGGACTTTTCTCCAAGTACCGCTGGTGGAAAGTGTAAGCTGATATATTTTAATGAGTAAAAACAAGATTAAAACAGTATTTTCTATCTTTATTTGAGAAAAAGGGTCAAATTTAACTTGGACAATAGTACTTTTTCCTCAATTTGGGGAGAAGTCTGTTGTAAATTTGAGAACCGGAGATTTTCTAATGAAATAAAAGCAAAATCATTATTCTGTGAGAAAATTTGATCTTGCCTTCGATAAGTTTGAGATTTTTCCTCAGACATTATTTTACTATATGGCTTTTACACCCTGACATTTGGAGCACAAGAGCGTGAAATTCTCCCCACCCTGAGTTTCCTGAGTTAATGTGCCTCTGGTTCTCTCACGGCACCGCATCCATCTACTGCATATTTTATCTCGTTTTCTCTTCACTCTCTTTCCCCTCGTCTATCTCGGTGCAGAGTCCTTCTCTCTATCGCTCAAACTTCAGTAATGTTGCAGATAAAAAAGTTCGACTTTGATCGCTCTCTGACTTGGAGCACAGCTCTACTCCTCACTTCTCATCTCATTTGCCATTTCAGCCGGCTTTGGCTCAGTCTAATTTCACATCGGCTCAGAGCTTCTGTTGCACACGTTCATTATGCATCACTGGGAGCTGATGAGAACTTTATAGGGTTCCTCTTTGATACGAAGTCGCATCACATAAGCCCGCGCATAACACATAGTTTGACCTCATTCAACATCACTGCGATGTCATGTTTTGTTCCCTTTTCCACTTGGTGCTTTGGGAGGAAATTGGATGAGAGTTTGAGGTTGAGGTACATCAAATACCTTTAGAAGCTGCACTGAAGAACACTTGTCATGAATCTGCAAATTTGTGATTCATTCTTTGATTCATTTTGATTCATTTCACAACCTAGCTTGAGACAAAGATGTGAGTATAAAAGGTCAACAACAATCGATTTTTTACTTTTAAAAGAGGAGTTGTCTGACAATAATAGACATAAATGATGCTGCAATATACTGGTATACTGGTAATGATCTTTATGTTCTGATGGTGATCAATACATAATGTGTTAAAAAAGAGTGAAACATCGCCGCTATCCACAGCAGGAGTAAAACTGGGAAAACACCAACCAATCACATCATGTGGGTCCCACATTTTTAAACCAATCAAATCCTGTGCTCGCCTCCTGTGCGTACATGTCACCGACGTGCCCTGGCCCTGATTCGAATAAAGCAACGGCGAAAACTAAAGTCAACGTCGGGACAGCTTTCCAGCGATGGAGAGATCTGAAAGAGGTCAAAGGCTTTAAAAGTGATGCTGTGGTCGCTCATTTTCTGTTGGAAAGGCACATTGAGGGTTTGTTGTTTCAGGACGACTTTAAATCTTGATCAAGTATTTAGTCATGTTGCGAGTTATGTGGTCATTCCGATGCTAACGTTACCGTCTTTGTCCCTGCTGTGCAAAGACTTCCCAATCTAAAGTTCCAAAGTTTTGAGTCTGTGGTTTTGAATCAGCCGACAGCAGCACTCCTGCATGTGAGTGGGGGCGTAGTTTTGGAGGAGTTCTAAGGGGAGGGAGGAGTGGCAAGACGAAGTCCTGAGGAGATGCTACATTCAAATTCATGCTAATTTGCCGTGATGACCAAGCCTACCTTTATGAGGTATGAATGGTATAATGGTATAATGGTATGAAATTCTACCTCACAGTTATTGTGACCAAAATAGTCATGGTTTTCGGTATGTATTCAAAGGCATTGATTACTGCATTTTTGAAACACATGCTAACAGTGTTTTTTGTCTTTTAAACTCAACATGCATCTTTGATTTTAAAACAGTATTCAATTATTTATTCAGTATAGCAAATGTTAATGATTGAGGGCAAGAGATGAATGTACAAGAGGCTCTAGTGAAAAGAGACAGAGCTACAAAATGAACATGACCCTCTCATTTTTTGGACAATGAACTCAGTTAAAAGCCAAAATTATGAGCTTTGAACATGAAGTACTCGACTTTAATCTGCGTGCGCTGAACTTTGAGCCGGCTCTTTTTGAACTGGCAGAAAAGTTGTCACGACGCCTGATGAGCCGAAGATTACAAAGTGCTCTCTCCACTCGGATTGACCTTTTTCTTATTTGCTTCAGTCCTTTTCAAACGTTGAAAATGAATGAATCAAGTTTTTTTTACTGTGTTATGAATGCAGTTTAAAGGAAACATTATTTTACTTTTATTTTACAGTTGCCTAAAGAAGAAGTCGGCACAGTCTAGGAGATCCAACCTAACCAGGTCTGAATGATATATAATACAATTAACAGCAGTACTAGCATGCAATCTTTTCTTTCAATTTGGAGGAAACTAAATAATTTAACACCTGTCTCATTATGAATAATTAATCCATTAAATGCGAACCCATCCCCTTTCACATAATGGAGCCTTTGATATTACAGCGAGACACTTTCAATCACTAAGTATTCTCCCTAATTGGGTAAACAGTGTCAAGGCTTTTTACAAGATGGATCAGCCCATTAGGGGGTCAAATCTGGAGCCAAGGCTTTTACTGTTTGCACACAATGATATCATATATTAATACTCTGCTTGAGATTGAGGGGTGTTTTTGGTTAATTTTGTTCAGTTTAGGCAAAGAAATTGTCAAAGTGGACATGAATATGACACGGAAACTGAATCGGGTCTACTTTTGTGAAATGAACTCAGAATTTTGGGGGGAAAAGCAAAACTTTGCAGCTCTTCTGCCAAGTGAAAGTCAACAGCATGAACATTTGACAGATTTTAGAGGTGCTGCTGACTCAGAGTTGTGAGAGTGAGCAAGAAGGCAAAAAAAGAAATAATATTCTGACATTGCCAGCCCATCACACCACTGGGAGCGGTCAGCCCTTAAGTAATAACTTGCCTTAAATGTTAAGCAGCTTTTTAATGCAAAAAAAAAAAAAAGGAGCCTTCACTCTTTTTCCTCCTGTATTTTGGAGAAGATCTAGAGTGAATATAATCATCTACAACATCAGCACTCTGTCTTTTTTCAACTTTTAATTATCGCAAATGAAATTCTGTCGAACAAGGGGACTACAAATCACACGAACATTATCATTCAACAGCAAAGTTGTGTGGAGAAACAAGAACTGATTCGAAGGTTCAAGTTTCTTTCAAATCTTAAAAAAAAGGACTAATTATGTATTCTTTCAGCTAAAGGAGCAAAAAATTATGTAAACATGAGGACCAGCGTCCCCAGACATTCACCCACCACAGCTGATAACACTCATAACGCTCAAGCATGACAATCCATTCTTTACAGCTTGTAAGTCAACAGCAATGCACATCACGTGTGTGTGTGTGTGTGTGTTCGACAGACTTGCAATAATGCTCAGCTGTTGGAGGAAATTAATTAACTTTCATTATCAATACAACGAGTATAGACAGTCTCAGCGAGGAGCTCTGTATCTCCTTCAGCCAACTCAGGATCCAACAGTGAGATGTCTGTAACTTTATTCAACAATGAGTGATTTTTATTTACATGTAAATATTTGTCAACTTGTTTGAAATTTTTTGCTACACGACAAAAAATGAGAAAGTCAAAGATATTGTGTTTCCTAAAAGAGGAAAAATTCAGCTAATTTCACGCCGCCATTTGTGCTCTGAAGAAGTAAAACTCGTGTTCCTTATGAACAATACTTTTGGAATAATTATGAGAAATGGTTCAGCAGCCTGAAGCAAATGCAGAAAATCCCTCGACCAATGATATGACTTGGTATCATCGGTAGAAATAATTACAATTTAATTTAGATCACATTTACACGTGCTATTTTCATTAACAGACATTTTACCCTCTCCGTTTACAATAAAAACAGTGTGCACACCCGTACATTTTCAGAGGAGTTTTCATTTACACTAACCCGTGTTTATATGCCGTCAAGAGCATGCCAAACCTGCAGGTGGCAGTGTAGCGAGAAGCTCAAGTCCACATTAGCCAATCAACAATGTCACTGTCTTCTTTCCTGCGCACAATCTGCCGTCGGCTACCCAAATTTCAGTTTTTCTCTGTTTACATGCAAATGTGCAGTTTTCCAAAATCTCCACTTTAGCCAGAGTTTTTAAAAAGCATCGTTTTCAGGGTTGAATTCTCCGTTTGCGTCTAAACCAAGGGTGCAAACGATGGTTAAGGTCTCAGTTTTTAAAAATAACCAGGTACATATAAACGGGGCGTCAATGTAAAATAATATCAGGTATGATGAGATACAATATGATAAGATACGATACAGTACGGTATGATCATAAATTGTATATACTATGGACGACTTGGCTCCGCCTCCCATCATTATACGAAATTGAAGCCTAATTGCTCTCAGTATTTTCAGGATTTTCTCCACTTCCTGGAACCACCACTTGCACAGTAGTGTTGTATGCAATCGGAAGGAGAGTCGCAGTGATGACGCTTAGTCTTAGTACACCCATAGGCTGTATCAGGTGTCAATCCTAGAAAACATGAACCCACTAATAACTTAAAAAAATGTAGCTGCACAGAAAAAAAGAGAACATGAGCACAAACCAGTCTTACATTAACAACATGTCAACATCCCAACCACAGAAAAAATGTATATTCTGTGTAATTAATTTCTAAAGTTTGTCCACAGCTCCATAGGGATTACTGGAGGAGGCGGGATTTATGACCTATACTGCAGCCCATCACCAGAGGGTGCTGTTCTCACAGTGGCTTCACCCAGCGAGGAGGCAGACGGCATCCATTCTACATACAGTCTATGGGTGCGATATGTCAGGTACAGTAACTTATGATAAGATACATTGGATACAGTAGGATACGATACAGTAGATCAGGTATGATATAATACAATACGTCGCACTCTTGTTTACTTTACTATAGCAACTATGAAATCCACCCACTGTCTCCTCTGCCCTTGCTTGTATGATAACCGACAACTAACACCTTAGCTTCAGTTCTGACAGGCATAAGTAAAGTGTGCTGGGACTATATTCTACATGAGTTGATGATGGATTATTATGAGGTATGTGATCTGCTCATCTCTTGTCTCAAAGTTAATTAACACTGTCGAGGGGTTTTTGCCAATAATAAGCCAGGTGATTAGCAAGAAAGCTGGGTAATAAGACGTGATACGATGTACTACAAGGCTTTCCACCATGTCGTCCTCTCAGGGGAAATTTTCCTTTATACAAAAGCTCTGCACATGTTCAACTGTCTCCACATTCATATTATAAATAAAAACATCAGAAACAAACAACAACCTACATGTTTGATAGATAAACTCATAACAAAATGCCTTGGAGAAAATGCGGCTTCACGCTAAATTAAGTTTCAAAGTTTTCTGTCTTTGTTGTAGTTGTGGGTGCAGTTGAGTTTCTTGCACCCTGATAACAAAAAGAAGAAAATCTTTACTAAAAACATTTTCAGAGAAGTTATCTTTACCCAGAAACTGTGGAATTTATTTATACAACGATGACAAAAGAGAGAATGTTTTTCAGTCAGTAGACTAGAATTTTGATCTTAAAAAATAAAAGTAAATTTTTTTATTGTTTTGAGAAAATGCTTTCCCCTCAGAAAATGTTGTTTAAAATCAACTGCAGTCACTTTGGAAACCACAAGTTCCCTTGTATTGATCCATATCCAACAAAATACCACCAAATGCAAGACTTGAAGCATGACTTGTCTGCAGTCTTGAAACTGATGCATTTTTATCGAGTTTCCACATAAACAGAGGGGTGGAAGTGCGTGCTCATAAATACATATGTGCACATTTACATACATTCGCTTTTATGGAGCTTCTGTCAGTGTAAGATCACCTGTCAGAAAACACATCCGTCAGTCTGAATGGGTCTTTATAGCCGCCATCAGTCACGGCGTGTACGCTCCTCGATTTATCTGACATCACTTTGAAATATTTCTACCGAGCTCACAACTCAAGCTGCGGAGAGTGAAGTTATTCATACAGCAACTCTGCAATCAGACCGTCCTCGTGTTGTTGAACAAACCTTGCTTCCAATTTAGCAAATGGTTGTCGTACTCGATGTGAATATGCATTAGAAAAATTCAGGTCTTGTTCTGCGCTGATCTCTGAGGTCTGATCTTACAATAACCGTCTCTGCTTCCTTGTCTGCCGGGTAATGGAGGTAATAAATGATGCATAAAAGAGTTTGTGAGGAGAAAAGAAAGAAAGACAGACAAAAAGAGCAACAGAGGGACGCTGGGAGTGAGGGAGAGACGGAGACAGACAGCAGCTGTGTGTATTCTCCGGTGTACTTGAGCGGTATAAGTCTTGGAGGGGGTGGGAAGAGAGGCAGGATGGGAAACTGATCGATTGGAGCTTTATCTCCTGGAAACTTTACAGAATAAGAGAGAGAGAGAGAGAGGAGAGTGCTAACCACAGACCCAGCCATGAGAGTCCAGAGTGTAGAGCTGACATATACTGATACACATTCTTCCAAATAGAAAGTTGAGATATTGATTTCAAAGTACCGAGGTGCCGAGAACCTTCTTCCCAAACTTATGAGTACTTCTTGTTGCAGACACAAGCAGGACGCTGTGCAGAAATTTGAAGCAACACTTTGATTTTTCATTCTTCTAGCAGTTTCGCTCAGGCATACTCTAGGAGCAGTCATCTGTTACTAGAAGATGTATACTCTCAAGAGTACCCAGACAGAGAGTTCATTCTTTCTTTAAGGTACTGTGAGATCAGAATGAGAGAGGACAGTGCAAAATCACAGCGCATTTTACAGTAATCTCATCGGAATATATATATATATATATATATATATATATATATATGCATGCAGCTACTGCATTTTGAGCTCTGCACACAGCTGCAGTGAATGTTACAGTAACTCCACAATGATTTGAATAGAAGTGTGCACATCCAGAGAGTAAATATCAGCGACCTTATCACTCAATGAAAAAGAGAACTGCACATGGAAAGAGAGCAGACAGATAAACTTCATTAAAATGTCAAGAAAAAGCACAGAGTCTAACCCCTTATTTACTTTAGATGGGGTACGAGCAGGGGAGGGTCCAGACTTTCGGGCTGGGGTGGCCTGACTGAGGTGCTGATTTTTTCAGTATAAGCTGCTGTATGTGTGCCCACTCACCAACAAACAGCATTAACTGTTGTATTTATGTTACTCTATCAATGTTATTCATTTTAAAAACAAGTCCTGCCTCTAACACACAAATGGCCAATCACTGTTCAGAATTTTGGAGTGGCGCCTGGGCGGCCAATCAGATTGAAAAGGGGGAATGAATGCATATTCATATACCATTTGTCTTTATTAAGAGGTTTCAAATTTGAGCAAAACGATAGAATTTTAGGGCCTTATTTGGTCTCCCTTATGAGAAGTACAGGAAAGTAAAGAAGACACTTAAAGGTCACACAAATGAAACTAAATCTGAGCATTCATAAGATAATTTTGAACCACAAACTAACTTCAAAAACTGAAACTGAAGCAATTTTTTTTAAACAGGGAAATTTACTAACAAACTAATACAGTTTTCAATCCTGTCACAACCTTGCAGTAGACAGCTCCATAATTCTGTGACATGTATTGCACAAGTCGCTGCAATACAAGTAGAAGACAAGAGCACTGCAAACAGCTGCAGTTCGTACCACAGTGACTTGTTACTTCCTTGTTATGTAATTATGATGATGCTCTGCACACAGTCATAGTGCAGCCTACAAACAACAACACCGCGCTCAGTCAGTGACAGAAGTGTTGCACTCTGGGTGCTTATTACGACATTTTAAGAAAATGAAAATAAAAGTGCTCATTATGACGCAATATGAAAATAACGGTGCGCAGTCACTGCACAACTGCATCTCTGTGAATACAACAAAAGCACCTCACATAGCCATGGTGCATCTAGCAGTCATTGCATTCTATAGAAATATACAAACAACTCTGCAGAGAGCCACAGTGCATATAAGAAAAACAAGCAATTGACACAGCCACATTTAGTGATGTTATGTTATAATGTATCCTACCAAAGAGGATAAGGGCCACTGTAAAGCAAAATAAAAAACAGTCCAATGTAACTTTTTGGTTCATATTCTGAGAACTTAAACTAAGAATTCTTACTTTTTTTTAAATCCTGACCTTAATCTCATACATCTGACTTTATTCTCAGAATTCTGACTGATTTTGAAATTCTGACTTTAATCTTAGAATTCTGTTTTTTTTTTTAAGAATCCTGACTATTCTCAGTACTCTGACTTTTTTAGGGATCCTGACTTTAATCTCAGATTCTGACTTTATTCTCAAGATTCTGACTTTTTTAGGAATCCTGATTTTAATCTCAGATTCTGACTTTATTCTCAAGATTCTGACTTTTTTAGGAATCCTGATTTTAATCTCAGATTCTGACTTTAATCCCAGAATTCTAACCCTTTTTAGAATCCTGACTTTATTCTCAGAACTCTTACTTTTTTTTTAATCCTGACTTTTATCTGATAATTCTGACTTTATTCTTTGAATTCTGACCTTTTTTCTCAGAATAATAATTTAAAAAATTAGATTTTTTTTTTCCAGTGGCCCTTAACCTCTTCCATTGTATCCAAATCAGAACATTAAAAAGAGTATCTATCTATCACACAGCTTCATCAGAGCATCAATAGATTGATACACACAGCTACAGTCCATCTCTCATGAACTTTGCCAGAATGAGACAAAACAACAGGAAATGTTTCAGGAATTTAACCTCAACATAAACTCAACACTGCACTCTGCAGAAGTACACACCACACTGACTTCATCCAAGAATGGAAAAAGGCCGCCCATGGCCACTCTGAATATTATAACAGCTTCATCAACATATTAAGCCATGCACTTTATGATATTATGGGTAGAGCTCTGCACAGACATTGTGAATATTACATTAACTTCATTTGACTGTAAAAGCACATCACCACAGTGTGATGTCTTCATCAATTCTGAAGTGTATGCAGCAGGCTTTGCTATTTCTTTTATGACTTTAACAGAAAAGGAGAAGAACAATGCGCAGCGACACTGTTCATATAATGGCGACTGGACCCAAACAATCAAGACTCACAGCAACAGCTTTATGTAAAAAAATTATATTATCTTACCTTCATTTGGTTCATAAGCTTTTCTCCTCCACCTAGACACCCCCGCAGGAAAACTGAGGTTGTCCTCTATCAGCGTGGAGTCCTCCTCCAACCCGCCATTTAAAACCAGTGTTGGGGAAATGCTTGAAGTAACACCGTCCACTTGAGATTCACAGGCTGGAAGCAGGAAAATAACACATGTCCAACACATGTGAGACTCTCCTTAGAGTTCATTCCAGTTTGTTCGAATGAGTTCAGCAGAGAAAGAAAGATGTTGAGATGTCCTTAAAGGCCACACTTGCTCCTGCTATTTTGTGTCCCTTCATTTGCAATACTTTTCATGGTTCTATGACACAGATCGGTCTCTGTTTCTCTGCCTCACTTTTCAGCTGGTTGTCTCCTTCATCTGTGCAAAAACCTTTGACTGGATTGCCAAAGAAAGTGGTGGGACAGCAGGTTTGGCAGATTTCTTGTTGCCCAAAGGAGAGCGTTCATTTACAGTGACTAGGATTACCAATGAAACCTTAAAAAACACCAAATGTCTGCGGAAAATGATTTAAATTTACTCATGAATTCATCAAAGTACCACCACATGGGAGAAAACTTCCTCTTGTTCTTCTTCTTCAATGGAGTTTATTGGCAGTTGGCAAACCAATTTTACCGCCACCTACTGGACTGGTGAAAACTTCTTCTGGATTTTTAGGATATTCAAATAACACACTGACTTCAGCAGTTCCTGGGCACCAATACTCAGGAGGGTGGACCTCAATATTTATCTTGAGCTGAGGGACTCAAATGCACGACTACAGCAGTAACAAGTTGTATATTTTTCTTATTAGAATCTGAAACAGGTGAATCATGTCTTTTAACTGTTGAAAAATCTATGAAATGACCAAATGTTGAACATGGTTGAGTCAGAGAAACCCCCGATACTTGGTATGACCCGCTGATGTCACAAAATACACTCCTAAGTGTACAAAAAACCAGGAAGTGCTGGGTCGGCTCATTTAAGGGAGCCCAAAAAGGTAAGAATGGGCAAAAAAACATGTATATATATATTTATTTTTTTAAGTCCTTAAAGACTGAAACTGTCTCATGTTAAAAAAAACTGTATCAAGCATTTTTGAACCACCTGTGACTTTTTATTTGGGAAGCTCAGACACTTTCTACAGAAACAGTACATTTCAGTCAAGTAAAACAAGCTTTGGAGATTTGGCTTCATCTGTCTATCCCCAATGGACTGTAGAAGAGTTTAGGTTATTAAATCTTCTTTGAGAAACTTTTGGTTTGTCTTGACTCTCCTTCAGCAGCCACTTGTTTGTGGGGGAGCCCTGACGAGTACAGCGGATCGTTTACATTAAGTCCTAATGCGGTAGTTCTTCTGCCTTAGCGTCTCAGTCCGATTGCATTTCCATGAAGTAATAATCATAAATGTTCTTCCTTGAGCTGCGAAACTCCGCTGCACTCGGTGATCGACTCGTCAGGGCTCCCCCCCACAAACAAGTGGCTGCTGGAGGAAAGTGGGTGAGTTGTGTTTAGTCTCTTTGCTAAAGAAATCAGGTAAAGCTAAAAAGATGTTCGGTGGCTAGTTCTATGGCCAGGACCCTATATGTCCTGTTGATTAAGTTAGTGCTGTTCTGAGCATTATTTGTGGCTATAGAGTGGCGTTTTTGTTGAGGTTTGCGCATGGAGGTGTAGACCGCTGTGTATTGCTATCGTGCGGTCGATGCTGAAGTTGGTGTAACTAGAGAAACAAGCAGTCGTCAACAATTATCTCTTGAGGGGATGCCTAACTCGGTGTTACACTGTATTTGACCATGACTTAAATTTTCGCCGGAATATCCCTTTAAGACAAGGGTTTAATATTCTGAGAACAATCATGAGTCTTAATGCCATATTGTTTTTCTTCCCCCAAAATCTCTACTTTTCCACCTTAATAAGTTTCCACCTCTTCATTATCTCATTTAAATAAATCCTTTCAATACTTTCAGTAATTTCATGCAGGGTTTAATTAAGGCACAGCTTACAGATTTACTACCTTTCATGGGAAAGTGGCTATTAATGCCTCAATCCAAACAAGACACTATAAATAATACAACAACCAGCTTTTATTTGTGTGAGTCTTGTGGGTAGGTTAAAAACACAGCTGTTGACTGTCAGCTGCACGACTCCTCAAACAGCCGTTAATCACTCGTGCTCCTCGTGTGCAGTGAGTTCCTGATCCTCTGATTTGCCGTCACTTGCTTCACATAGAAGCCAGCTTTGAAGAGAAGAGACAGGGAATAGGAATCTGTTCAACCAGGAGATATTGGCAAATTATAGTCTCCTTCTACATCCCTGTGGCATTTTTATTGGAGGAAATAAGGCTGTAAATGAAAGTCAGATATGGAGTAGAGGATGTTGGGGACAGGTAAATACATTAAAATAAAAAAAAATGTTTTAGCGACTGAGTTTCATTTGCAATTGATTTGGGTCCAAAAAGGAAAAAAGGGATGAAATTGAAAAATAAGTGAACACTGATAGTATCATGGCTCTGAAAAATACAGCGTAGATGTCGCACTAAAATCGTTCACAGCTGAGAATTACATCAGCGTCTCCGGCATAAAGTTTCCTCTCACTGCTCAGACCTATTAGCTCATGCAGCGCTTGTAAAAAAGCACCGCGACACAATTTACGGGCTCTGTCAAGAACAACATTACCAACTTTTATTCATCTTGTAAATTTTATTTTGCATTCATCAGTGTCTGTCTCGGAAAATAAAAAGAAGGAGTAATAGCAGCAAAGACAAACAGGCCCCGTGACAAAGGGAATCCTCCGCTCTTACAAGGTCATTAAACTCAAAAAGATACAACCCACTGAGATGTATAAACTTCACAGCAAGCTATAAATTTAAGAGAGGCATTTCGACTGAGATTCATGCCCCTCCCTCAGAAATATAGGACACAAAGGTGACAATGTATGTTGATGTGGCTCTGTTGCTGAAGGCCAAAAATGTGTGTGATAAACAAGAACCTCAGGGCTCCCACCACAGATGGAAACCAGATTGCATGGTTTTAAATCAACATTTTTAAGCCAAGGATGCTCATAAATACACACCTAAGAACAGTTTCAAAGTAGTTCACACTGAGTGTTCAATCTTCTGTTGAAGCCTGTCAAGTGTTTGGTATAAATCTCTCTTCTACTCTTGCATTTAGGCATCTCTAAAGCAGAGGCTGGTTCAACAATAAAGTAATCCTGATGCAGAGTGAATAATGTTCCAGTCTTGATGATACGGCAATTTTATCAAAGAGGTCCACATTTCTATTTTCAAGGACCCTGCTTTTAAAATTCTGACTTTTTTTTTAAGAATTCTGACTTTAATCTCAAAATACTGAGAAAAAAGTCAGAATTCTGACTGTAATTTTAGAAATCTGACTTTGATTCTTTAATCTCAGAATTCCAACTTTAATCAAAGAATTGAGAATTTGATCCCAGAATTCTGACTTTAAGAATTCTGACTTTTTTTTAGAGTCCTGACTTTAATCTTCGAATTCAGACTTTAATCAGATTTATTTCAATTTTGATCTCAGAATTCTGACTTTTATCATAGAATTCTGACTTTAATCTCAGAATTATGACTTTATTTTTAAAATTCTGACTTTAATCTCAGAATGTTGACTTTGATTTCAAAATTCTGACTTCAATCTCAGAATTCTTACTTCAATTTAAAAATCCTGACTTTGATGCTTTCATCTCAGAATTCAGACTTTTTCCTCAGAATTCTGACTTTAAGAATTCTGCCTTTTTTTTTAGAATCCTGACTTTAATCTCAGAATTCTGACTTTTTTCTCATTATTCTGACTTTAATCTCAATATTTGGACTTTAATTTCAGAATTCCAACTTTTATCTCAGCATTCTGGTCTTTTTTAGAATCCTGAATTTAATCTCAGGATCCTGAATTTAATCTCAGAATTCTGACTTAAATTTCAGAATTCTGACTTTAATCACCTAATACTGACTTCAATCACTGAATTTTGACTTTTTTCAAAAGATTTAACACTTGGTTTTAAATCTTCTGTTGAAGCCTGTCAAGTGTTTGGTGTAAATCTCCCTTCTACTCTTGCATTTTGGCATCTCTAAAGCAGAGACTGCCTGAACAATAGAGTAATTGTGAAGCCAGAAGAATAATGTTCCAGTCTGAATGAAACTGCCATTTTATCAAAGAGGTCAACATTTCCATTTTTAGGACCCTGCTTTCAAAAAAGCAAAGTACAGGAATAGAACAAAAAAAAATAACAGCTTGATTTCATGCCTGAGTGTAGACATCTATGAGTTTACCAAACTGATAGGACATTATTTTTTTATAGCACCTAAATAGTTCCCATGTGTATGCAGTGATGTGATTTTATGTGTGCCCAATAGGAAACAACGTCAGCCTGATCCTTGGAAATTGCCTCCAGAAGAGGCATCAAGTCCAGCTCTGCAGGCTGCTCTTGGACCAGTGACTGTGATTGAGGTGAGAGAACGAACCAATCAACACATGGAAGCAGACACACCTGAACCCAGTTCCCTCATTATAAGCCTTCCTGCAAATGAATTCATAGAGTTATCAAGGTTCGCCGCCAGCACTTGCAAATCTGAAGCAGCCCAGACCCCCAAAAAGCCAGCTATGACACCTCTGCCAACCAAAACTTTGCCCAGAGTTAGAGAGTTAAAACTGGGCTACTTGACAATTAAAATAGTTACTTTGAGAAAAAACCAGCAGGCTAAACAAACACTGCTCACTGGCTGCTCTTTTAGAGTTAGTCCAATTTTATTCTCTTTTTATCATATTAGTGTATTCTAGTTGACAAAAACTCAAAATATTTCAGTGTAGTTTTAGTCTTTACTTTTTTAGTCTTTACTCTTGGTCAAACATTCTCTCTTAAATTCTATTAGCCAGTTAAAAAATATGTAGGCTTAAATCTGTAATCTGTGAAACAACATTAGTTTCTGAAGCAGAGTTTCGAAGCCCAATGGAGGTCACCCCGCTGGAAACGCTGACTCAACCTACCTTTCAGTCGACCCAGAAGCAGGCAGAGTTGAGGCCAGTCTTCAGTTTTTACTTACAGCTACAATGTGCCTGAATGTTGGATCAGGACTTACTAAAACGGGAGCATATGCTAACCCTGCTTGTATCTATCAAAACACGTATTAAATTAAGAGTTAAACAGCACGGAAGCCCAAAACTTTTATTTCGTGATCACAACTTATTATCCTCATTATCTCGATATAACATTTTGTTAGGTAGGATATGCAGCACATGGTTAGGGCCGGGGTCGAACCGGTGACCGCTGCGGGGACCGTGATCCCCATACATGGAGTACGCTAACCCACTCAGCCATCTGTGCGCCCCCTGAAGGGCATTTTAAAAGTTACCATTGAGGTTGACTAAAAGGCCATTTACGTTTTTATGAGAAATTAACTTTGTTATATCCAGATAACAAAAAAAACAAGTCAAGGAAACTGGACTGTTATATCAAGCTAATAAGTCATAAAAAAAAATCCATGGCTGTTCTCTGCTTCTGTAGAGCAGAGTTAAAGGGTTACTCAAAATGGTTCAATGTGGATGAAATTGTACGTCTGACACACTAAATAAATGCAGCTGTAGATAAGCTAAGATTTATATGTTGGAGGGTCTTCACTCAAATACTAGAGGCCATTTTTTTATCCTGTGAATGTAAGTTCTTAGTTTTTTACAGCACAAAATAAACTCCACAGGAGACAGCTAACGTCTGGTTTACAGTGGTGTTACAGAGTGGAAGTTTCCCCTCATAAACTCTTCTTCAGGTAACATGTCCAACAGCAGAGAGAGCACTCAAGGAGGCAACAACCAGGTTTTACGCATGACTGTTTTACCAGCAGCGTGCAGATAGACATAAACCTCTTACCTTTACAATCACTGACTTTGACTGTATGTCTTTCAGAGGTGGAGGTTACTCTGAGCACTATAGAAAAGCCAGTCCTGTAAATCGTATAATTTCCATCTGTAAGTTTGAACATTTCTACCGCAGGGCTTTTATGTTAACCGTCATGCTGACTTACAAAGCGTATCCAAGCAGACTTCACATTTTCATTAGACTCCCCAACACTTTTATTGCTTTCAGACGCTCTCGCTGGAATAGTTCTCTGTTAAAGTGTATTTCTCTGCTGCTGTGCATGTAGACGGCATGAATATCAAAAGGCTTTACTTGTGTGTTTGAAGGAAACCACTGACAGTTTCTTTCTTGTTGCATTTAAGTGCAGAGTCTATGCGCCGAGTGTTTACTGATCTCTGTTGGTGTTTCTTTGGTGGCCTTGGTAAATACGCTGAAAAAGTCCAGGTGGTTTTATTTTGGACTCTTGCTGTGGGCCAGACTTTGAAAAATTGGATGCGGATTTACATGTTTGAGGAATTTTACTTCCTAAAATCAGGGTTTACATGCATGTTGCATATAAACAGTGTAGTCAGTAGGTCTTTGTTAAAATGAATCCTTAAAAAAGTATCTTCACTGCTGCAATGCTAACTCCAGTCCTGTGTGCTCTCAACAACAACGCCCTTTCAACTTGTGTTTTTGCATGTCAAACTGGTTCCTTATGATTGAGCGTCCTACAGCTTGAGAAATGATAAATAGAGACTAGGACCCCGTTGGGGCACTGGCGGGCCCGAGCCGTGTCGCCCCCCCCCCAACGTGCTGCCTCCCCGTCCCATTTGTGTCCTCTGGCCATCGCCCTCTCTTGTAACGCCCATCACTGCAAAGACCCTTTTCCTTCATCGGCGTTTGCTGTTCTTCCTGCCAGTGCGTGTTGCTTTCACTTACACTTGCCACAGTCAGCCTCGTGAGTGCCTAGCCTATTCGATATCACTGTCACCTACACAGGACAGTCATTACCTTTCTATTAATACTTTGTGTTTTAATTTCACATTAATTTCCATATTGTATAAACGACTGGAAAAAACTTGAGCCCCTGCCCCTGTATAATCATGTGCATGTCTCTGTTCTAGCTCCAAGGTGAATCTTCACTGCTCATGTTCTCCTCAGAAGCACTCACCTCACTCCCCTCAGGTTACTGTACACATGCACCAACTGCCTGCTTCAGGTTTGGATGGAGCTTCATGGTTGTCTTTTGGAGAAATGACCAGTCAAGTTGTGTTTGAAATTTGATTTTTTTTTCAGGGGCAAAAGGAGCCTCTGCATTCTTGTCAAATATGTAAATAGCATGTTTTTGCAGGTGCTAAAAACCAGACTCTGAGTGTGTGTGTGTGTGTGTGCGTGTGTGTGTGTCTGTGTGTGCGTTCAAGTCACATGACATATTTAACCGGATGTAGCTGCAAGACGGAGCCTCGTTGACTCTCCGTTTCAACTTATCTCAAAAGTGAGGACCTCAACCTATATACCAGTTTTTAAATTGTGTTGATAGGCCAAATAAAACCAGAGTTATGATAAATTATGTCCGCGATACTTTTTTTCTGCTTATTTTGATCACGTTCGGCGCTCGATCGCGCTGTATGAGACAGGAAAACATAGCATGCAGACATTAGCGACAGGTCTTACAGGCGGAAAAGGCTTGCCAAAAGAAAAAAAAACACACCACAACATCTCTCCTATTGGTGGAAAACTTCACCACAACAACCAATCCAAAATTATATGGTGACTGATTGACAAGGGGAGGGCGCTTACGTTCTTCCTGCAACATGAGAAGGGAGGGAGGGACTCTCAGCAGGGATGCAGTCTGGGACACGTAGTTGCAAACCTAGCGACTTTGTTGTTAGATTCAATGACTTTTCAGACCCCCTAACGACTTTTTTTAGAAAGAAAGGGACTTTTATCGACTTCTTCTGGAGTTTAGAGACTCTGACATGAAGCAGGCTTTCCTTACTGAGGAGTTAGCAACGCTGCTAAGGGTGCAGAGCCACACATGCGCTCAGAGCTCTGCATGGGAGACTGAAGCTGACAGAGCTGCAGCAGTTAGCAGGTTTCACCCTCAGAGACCACCAGGGGTTCATGTTGAGGCATTTTCAGTTTTTTTTTTTTTTTGTGCCATAGACACTGTCAGCACAATCTGCAGTTACACTAACAAAAATGCTGCAAAAAACAAAGAATTATGGAAAAATTACACATGGACTGACATAGAGGAGGATCTACACAAGTTTTTTACATCATGTTTTACATCATGCATCATTTACATCATGTTTTTTTGTAGTGGCATAAATAAAAAGTGACATTTGTGAGACTATACAGTGTTTTGTAAATAATTTTACAAAGAACGCCTGGGCCATTGCCTGCATTTTGATGTAAATAGAGGTAAATCACTATGTTCTTTGTTAAAAATTTGCATATGTTTTGAAGTTTACAATTTTTATTTGAAGTTTAAGTTTTAAAAACAGTTCATCACACATATTTGTGGTTTAATTTCACATTAATTTCCATATTGTATAAATTACTGGAAAAAACTTGAGCCCCTGCCCCTGTATAATCATGTGCACGTCCCTGTTCTAGCTCCAAGGTGAATCTTCACTGCTCATGTTCTCCTCAGAAATAGTCACCTCACTCCCCTCAGGTTACTGTACACATGCACCAACTATCTGCTTCAGGTTTGAAATGG